ATAGGCCTATTATATAATAAAAATTTATGTAGTGTACATAATACGTAGGACACACGACCACAGATGAATTTGGTCATGCACGGACAAATGAGTGGCTATATTGAAAATCTACATGCGCAACTAAATGAACTTGACATTTATGTGCCGAACTTGGGAGGGGTAAAATTACTTCTAAAACACAATTTAACAACCGTCACCTTCTTTGGTGGCTGGCACAAAGTTCTCGGTGTTTGCAGGTGGTATGCACAGGTCATTGTCGGGTGGAAAACGGTCGCAGTCCAACATCTTCGGCCAGGGAAAGCCAAACGCGGACATCACGGGCGCACAGCCATTTTTGACGTTTTCGCACAGAGACCTGCACGGTTGAATAGGCTCGTCCAAATCGTCCAGACAGACGGGAGCGAAAAGGGAGCAGAGGAACTTTCTTGTGTCGGGGTGACATTGCTTCTGAACCAGTGGGATCCAAGACGAAGCTTGCTGCAGAACTTCATTCATAGTTTCGTGTCCGAGGAGATTCGGTAGGCGCATCGCCGTGTATTCTATATTGTGGCATAGGAGGAGGCTTGTAGGAATTGGCTTACAGTTATTCTTTTTGTAGAATAATTCATGTTGGCCAAAACTGTACAATCCGTGGATGGCTTCCATGTAGGGTATTGTTATCACCCACAAGACTGTCACCGTGGATGTAAAGGCTCTCATTTTGTTTGCGCGTAAAGTTGAAAAACAAGATAAACATAAACGTTTAATCAGATGATGTTGGGCATCACGCGGCGTGGATGAAGCCTCTGTCAGTGGCCCATTCCCACTGTAGCAAGAGGTTTTCTTCCATGCATGTCTGGGAGGAGTCTGTAGGTCGTGCGTAAAGTCCGCTTCTCCATTCAGCGCACTAGGTTTCCTCACACCAGGTAAATGTGGATACATTTGTCTCTTAAGTCAAAGGCAAACTCAGATTCTCATTTGATGCTCCTCTGGGTCTTTTTAAATTTTGTCTAGTTCATTTTTTTCAACATCACCAGTCGTTCTCTTAATGATATCTCTGTTTTATCTCCTGTCCTTCATGTAAATCATAACAACACGTGTCCGCAGGTTTTCCTCATTACGCCCAAATCAACAGAAATATATCCAGAGAGATCCTTTAACTTGCCGTTTTAGACCCACGTTGTAAATAATTTGGAAATGTTGTCAGTATGGGCATTTAGCTTTGTTCAGTGAAGCATTAATTTTCCATCATTACCAGTAATGCGATGAAATCCTCTGGGCAAGGTCTGCAGGTTCAAACCACATGGTGAAATATTGTTCATCCTAGTGAGAAGCAGACCTGCACTCAGCACACCCAGGGGTGAAACCGAATCTGCCTCCTCCTGCTCTGCAGCTCTGGCTCCTATCCCCTCTCAGACCCCCTTGAGCTACAGTCTGGTCTGGAAACAGCAGTGTGGTTCTTCTCAGACTTGACCTTTCTCTTCCTCCCTCAGAAGAAACTGAAAGGAGTGAGTTCTTGAAGCTTGAAAGTAAGGCTTGTGGAATGTCTTACTGAAAGGTTCAGTTCACCCAGAATTACAAAATCACATTTTCCCATTTACCCCTTGTGGTTTCAATATGCATTGCAGATATTTTTGGTTCCACTTACCCAGACTTAGAGATATCTGTTGCTGAGTCTTCTGCTGCTCTACCAGTACAACTGTGCTAAATTGAATTTGTGATGCTCAAAGCACTTACAGCAACATGGGTTTTCCCCTCAAAGCAATGAATATATTCCAAAACTTATCTAGTGTGCAAAGTATGTTGATTCCTGCATGTTGATTTCGTCACTGTTCAGCCTCTCAGAACTTCCCACTTTCTCCAATCAGTAGCTCCTTTAATCAATCAAAAAGGTTCTGAATCACAAGTACAGTATGGGAAAACACATGAAATGAAAGCACAGTTGTAGTATATTTGCTCTCAATTAAACCTGTAATTAAAGTTTATAGTTCTACTTGTGCCAAATCCTTTTAGCAGAACAGAACAAAGACAATATTATGCCAAGAACTCACTGTTCACTTGCTATTCTTTCCATATAAAAACAACGCGCAACCTACGCACAATTTAGTGGCCCTGGCATGTATAAATAGTGTTTTATGAATAAAGCCTTAAATTAGGCATTACATTTTTATTTTTTTTTACTGAAAATACAAGTGTTTCCCAACTCCCAAAAAAAAGCCGTTTGAATGAAATTAGGTGCCTCATTTTGACTCATGAATCCATATTGCTGACTGTCAGAAACTGATGACTATACAGGAGAGCAAAGCTACAGTAGTGAGGGCACATGTCGTAACTGTTGACTGATGTGTTACACCAGTGTCTTTATTGTCAGACTGTCCTTTTAGAATGTGTCATTTGATGAACAATGGCACTCTATCTTAACTAGCGCTAAGTGCTGTAAACACTCACCAATGTACAAGATGTATATAAATACGCTGCTAAAAGTTGTTCCCACCAAATGCACAATTTACTTCTGTTTGAGTAACATCTGCTATCAACTACAGCACCCAACTGTTTTACAGCAATTATATTGCATTTTTATAAAATGAAACTATATATTTGGTACAGATTTTTAAAGATTTATGTCTTGACTTGGAATGAAAGGGCTTGGGGTTCAAACCAGAAAGCTGGAAGTTGTTGGCTTGAAAACCAAAACATTACATCTTAATGATATGTGCATATAAACATATTTACAACTTGTCAAATACATTTATAAAAACATACAATTTGGTTGGTTTCCTTCAACATATATTTGCTGTTACAAATTTGATGTATAATATTATTTCTAGGAAACAAGGTTGAAAAATATCTGAAAAAGGTTGGTGTGTGTGTCCTTGTGCTACACTAGGTAATTCAGAAAACATAATATAAAAAACTTTCTCAGGGATAATTTTTAGGAAAAAACAAAACAATTGAAAACAATTGACAGTAATGTCTGTAATTTGGGTGAACTGACCCTTTAAAGAGAACATCATCTTCCAAATCTATCAGGATTAAGAGCATGAAGACAGATATTTAACTGGCTCTTCAGTCTGTGTCAGATTTAACTTGCTTTTATAAGGCAGCCTTTCCCTTTTATCCCCTTTCTTTCAAAGTGTGCTGTGTTCTGTTCAGGTCTCTGTAGAAACATTTATTTAAAGGCTAGAGCCCCCCCCCGTTAAGCAGCAACTGGACTCCTTTTAGCTGAGCAGTTTATCAACTGGCTAAGCTGTACCTATGGCATGTCAGGTCACATACTAACATTTCTTGGACAACTAAACGTGATCAACTTATATACGCATCATATTTATAACAACATTGTAAAATATGACCAGAAACAAAGGCTATAAACAATGGAAATTGATCCGATAAATTGATGTCAGTTAGAAATGTACTGATTCTTACCAAGCATGAGGTTTTATTTCTCCTAAACGAGATAGTCCCTATTAACAACATGGTTTCAGAGTCAGAGGTTTGGGATAAAGAGGTAAGCTGATCCCAGGACTGCGCTTAAAGTCACCCCAGCAGGTTCTCATTACAACTCTGTGTGAAAATGAGACACAGCTTGTCGAACCTACCAGCCCATCTGTAGCACAGTGACCCTTCATTCTTACTCTTTTCCCTCCATCCTTTTCCTTCCTTCTTCCATGAATTATCAAGAGCTAGACTACTGTCAAAAACAATCACAGAAGGTTCACAAGAAAGCCAAACCCCAGTGGAAATATCTGAGGAATTCATTTATTGAATGTTCACAGTACTCCTCTCAGCATGAGGAGCATCAAAGCCAATAGAGCTGTTATAATGTAAACCATGCTTATGAAAAGTATCGTTCCTTAGCAGATTCTTCATAGTCCCATTTCTATACACACAAACTATGATCCCATATGCACGGTCACTAGTGCACCAAATGTGTAACCATCCGCTATTGAAAATAGTTCCCAACAAATGCACAGCCTCCTGTTTGATTAAAACTACAGTGCCAAGAATTTTAAGACATTACTTATCCTTTCTTGAATATACAAAATATACAACAAAACAGCCGCTCCTCACTCGAAGGGTGTCAAATACTGACAATATACCAAGTTATCTTCAGTGTATGGATGCTAAAGGCTTCCTTTGGTCTCTATATGAGATGCATGGGGTTTTCAGTAGAGTATCCACTCATATCAGTATTTGATGCCCAAAGCAAGAGGCCGTAGGGGGAAAGTCTGTATTAGCAGGTGGTTGGGGTGGATGGTGGGTTAAACAAAACATTAAACTTCCCCATGAGAGAGCGGAGTTCATGTCCAGTGTGTAATGAAGTGTTTTTAATCAGTGAGTGTTTTAACCCGGGCCACAATATTTTCATAAACTCAACCATATAGTAATTGTGTCTAAACATAACCATATCATTTGTATGCACCGACAGAAGTGGGCTAAAATTGTTCTTTAATGAAAACCCTGAGCATCTTATATGGATTCCAAAGTCATCCTTTAGCATCAGTATGAGGCGCAAAAGGTACTTGACAAAAGGTCAGTATTTGACGCCCTGGGAATGAGAATACGTTGACTAAAACTATATCTGTGAGACTGTTTTGTTTTAAAGATGAATGTTTTTTTGTAGAAACAAATGGGTGTAGGGTGGAGTAGCACAGACAGGCTGGGGAAATCAGGATTGTTGACCTTTGAATGGGATTTGTTGACAACTGGAAAAATGTAGAACGCCAGCCTCATCCATTCAACTTCAATGGTCTGAAATCACTACCAGTTTTGAGTGTCCAACAGATACTTGGTGTGAAAATACTTTGGAAAATTGGTCTGCAATCTGTCACACTTCTACAAAAATGGTGTCAACTTGCCTTATAAAATAAATATTAAGAGTAGACCACAATAAAAAAGATACATGAGGCTTTACTGATAGAACCACTGGCACTATCTTCCATGGTCCTTTGACAACTGCAGATCAACTATAAATCTCTGAACATGAACATGAAATGCACTAATGAGCTTGTTAACTTCAATCAGTCCTGACATTTGGGGAGGAATTTATCCCATCCAAGAAGAATTCATCTCATTAGAGCTCCAGAGTCATATAGATTGTTCATGCTTGGCTTAATTGACATTTCTATTGTACAGGCCTAATTGACTATGTAAGGTTTCAGAGCAGCTTTGGAACAACAGACTAAACAGATATATATTAGAAATGTGTGCACCGTATATAGCAGTGGACAAATATGTGGAAAAGGTACAAGAATATTATTATTCTCTGTTCTTCAAGAATTGAAATCTATTGAATAACTGTCAGAAATACAAATGAAAAAACTGGGATCAACCCAGTTACTTAAATCTTGGTGAGAAAATGAATAAAAGTTTTTTTTTTTTTTAATGTCAGATTGTTGGTTTCATAGCTTTCAATAAATACTTTACTGCCATGCAATCAGTACAAGAACAACCAAGACATTTCAGAGGAACAGTGCAACTGCGCCATAAAACCCAACGCCGAGCCAGGCAGGTTTATGCTCGCAGGATGTGGACGGATCAGTGTGACAAGCTGATCCTTCTGTAGAGCTCTGCTCCTTGACCCCTGACCAATACTGGAGCTGGAAGCCTCACACTGTGAAGGGCTCTGCGGGATGTTTTACAGCTCAGACCAAAGCGCAAGTAGCTCTGCTGTCAGAGAAGTGCTTTGTGAATGACCCATACCTGATCTCCACGCCATATGGAGAAGGGCAACCCACAGTCCTGCCCCTTGTCACCCTCACAATCCTGTAATTTGAGTG